TCTGCTGCAGCTCCAACTTCACGTGGGCGAGAGCCTCAGTGTCAGCAGTGGCAAAGACCAAGTCGTCGACGTACACGAGGATCTAGAACGGCGGCAGCGAAGTGTCAGTGCGTAGAAACAGCGACGGGTGAGCAGTAGAAGGAGCGAACCCAAGTGCCGCAAGAGTAGTCCTCAGTGTGTCATGCCACTTACGTGGTGCCTAGCGGAGACCGTAGACCAGCCGCCGGAGGCTCCACTGGGTACCAGGAGGAAACGACCCAGTGAAGCCAGGAGGGCGGCGCAGCCAGATCTCCTCGTGCAGACTGCCCTGCAAGAAAGTTGTGCTGAAGTCAAGAGAGTGAAGCTCGTAGTCACGCTGAGCAGCAGCGTGCAGTAGTACCCGAAGAGTGGTCATCTTCGGGGTGGGGGAGAAGGTCTGAAAGAAGTCTACTCCCTCTCGCTGACTGAAGCCTCGTGCAACGTAACGAGCCTTGAAGAAAGGCGGTGAACCCGGCGGCCGCTTCACCCTGAAAATCCACATGCCACTGACGATGTTCGCCCCAGGTGGGGGAACCTCGTCGACGTAGGTGCTTGTGGACTTCCAGGAAGCCATCTCTGCGTCCATGGCTGACTGCCACTGTGAGGAGTAGGGACCCTCGATCGCCTCAGCGTACGATCGAGGAGTCAGGATGTCTGGTGCATCCGGGTATCCCTCAGGGGCAATCAGCATGGACACGAGATGGGGCGCAGTGACTGCAAGACACTCAAGGTCCTCCTGTATGTCCTCAAGGACGTCCGTGCCTAGAGCACACTCACCCCCGACGGACGGAGGACAAACAGACTCAGACTCAGCAACAAGACTGGCAGCGTAGTCTAGACGACAGCGAGCAGAAAAGTTGACGAGCTCAGCAACTAGGGCAGACGCAGCAGTCGACTCAAAGGAAGGATCACTGACAACAGTAGCTAGGAGACGCGTGACAGTAGGACAGGCAGCACGAACGGAGTCAGACTCCGGGTCAGCAAGGGCAGGAAGAGAGGACGGGGGAGGAGACCGCCGAGGGACACGCAGAGGAGCAGTGGAGGGAACGCAGTGACATCCGGTGTGTGCAAGGGACAGGTGGCGGACGCTCACGTGGTACACAACGACTAGCACAAGCAGGACGAACAGGTGACACCGGACGGGACGCAGGCGACACAGGACGAGACTCAGGCTCACGACGCTCTGTAAGACCGCCTGTCGGACCAGTGTAGGGAGGAGGACCAGGAAGCGTCGAGCATGTGGAAGCTGTGACTGCGACTGGGCAGGCGGGGGACACTCTACGGAGGGGGGAGGACTAGGAGGCGGCTGACCAAGAACCTGCTGAAGGAGTGGAACGAAGTAAGGCCGCGGCCATGAAGTGCCTCCAGCAGCAGCAGAGACAGGACTAGAGCCTCCAGCAGCTCTAGCAAAACCTCCAGCAGCTCCAGCAGCACCTCCTGCACCTCTAGTGCCTCGAGCAGCTCTAGCAGAACCTCTAGCAGCTCAAGCAGCACCTCCAGCACCTCCACTGCCTCCAGCAGCTCCAGCAGAACCTCCAGCAGCTCTAGTAGCACCTCCAGCACCTCCAGTACCTCCACCAGCTCCAGCAGAACCGTCAGCACCTCCAGCAGCACCAGCGGCACCGCTAGGAGCTCCAGGACCTCCAGCAGCGGTAGCGTCTCCAGCGGGCGGTACCTCAACACCAGGAGCTCCACTCCGGAGGCTGCAGCGCCGAGCATACCACTCACGCAACCGCTGAGGGGAGGGGGGCTCCGACTGCCACACGGCACCCGCAAGACGACTAGCCCCAACTCCAGCAGACCCCCCAGCTCGAGGAGCCCCACGACGAAGGCTGCAACGCTGGGAGTACCACTCACGCAGCTGCTGAGAGGAAGGAGCGCCAGCAGGCGCAGCACGGTCAGTCTCAAAGCCCCCAGCCACAGTCCTGTCAGGCGCAACACCCCTAGTCGCAGCACCTCCAGGCTCAGCACCCATAGTCTCCGCACCCCCAGACTCAGCACCCCCAGTCTCAGCGCCCCCAGACCCAGCACCCCCAGGCTCAGCACGCTCAGTATCTCGCACACGACCAGAGTCAACAGCTACCTCGACAGGCTCGACCGGGTCTACCTGGGAAACACCTGAGGGAGCAGCAGGCTAGGGAGCGGCGCGCGCGAAAAAAAAAGGTCGTGCGCGGCACTAGCGAGCCGCGCACAGGCAGCAGGAGAAGACGAGGCGCACGAGGGCGCACTAGGCGAACGGCGCTCGAGGGCGCTAGGACGATGGGGCGCTCGAGGGCGCTTCTAGCGGTGGGCCCTTAGGTGAAACCTAGGTCTAGAACCTAAGCTCTGATACCATGTCAGAATGAGAAGTGATGTGAACTATGAAAAAGTGGAGTACAAGTATCAAACCCTAGTTTTGTGTACCCCCTAAAGGCTAACCCACTATAGCCTACCCAACAACAACACATATAGTGTTTGGCAGTTATGGCGCCTACTACACGACGTAAGTGACAGTGCTCTAGTACATATCGTCGGGGTATGTGATATACATGAAGCTATCACTAACCACACGCGTTGATGCCCGTGCAGGTACGAATTTGAAGAGATCACCGCCGCAATAGCGACATACCTTCGTGCGCGCCAGAGAGAATTCATTGATTCGAGTCCATTCATTGGTCTGAGCTGCGACGAGAGTACGGACCGCGTCAAAGGGAAGCACATGATTGTGTTTGTAACCTTTCTGCGTGAGCATGCCGTCACCACAGAGTTTCTGACTAACCTCTCCGTCGAGAAGTGTGATGCAGCATCTCTTTATGCTAAGATCACGGGATTCCTTGACACTATTAGCCTGCCGCTGGAGAAGGTGGCGGGTATCAGCACCGATGGGGCACCTGTGATGATAGGCAACGACACGGGCCTCGTTGGGCGTCTTCGACTGGAGATCCCGCACGTGGTGGCTTCTCACTGCATCGCACACAGGTAAACTGTTGCTGTGGTGGTGTTGTTGCGGTATGAGATGTGCAACGTGGTATGTCGCAGTGCGAATTCTAACACCCCCACCCCTGCATTTCTACCTGTGGCAGGGAAGCGCTTGCTGCAAAGGAGGCGGCTAAGGCACTACCCGAGCTTGGCATAATCGACGCCGTTATCCGCGCAGTGGCGGAAGATCTTGGCAGATCCAGCAACTCCAACCGCAAGTTCAAGGAGCTGCAGGAAGTGTTCACGCATACCAACCTCGAGGTCGAGGGGATCCACAGCGTCCGCTGGTTGAGTCGCGACGATGCAATCGCACGATTCGTACGCGTTCTGTCTGCTGTCATCATTATGCTCGAGGAGTCGGACAAGACGATGTACCACTTAGTAGCGTCCTTCAAGTTTCATTACTTCCTGTTCTTCTTGGCAGATGTGCACACGGCACTCAACGCGCTCAACCTGCTATTCCAGAAGCGACAGGTGAGTTGTTGAGTTCCGTTTTGCAGTTCTCTTCTTCTCCCAGGTACTTATCTTTTGTTTCGGTGTACCGATTCTCCCCCCACCAACGGGTCGACCTCACTGCAGTGCACTCCCAGGTGAGGCGGACCATCATCTACATGGAGCAGAGGTATCTAAACTGTGGCCAGCAGTTTGGCGGTGGGACCAGCGAGCTGCTGTCTGCTTTCCTCGCGCGGCACGCCTCGCCCGACTGCCGTGAAGTGACTGTGGAAGGGGTGGACAAGGAGGGTCAGCCCCGTGTACACAAGATCCAGCTGCACGAGGAGGCAGTCAAGGGATACACCACCAGCAGCGGGGACATGCAAGGCTGCTACACCTGCTGCCGCTCATTCGCCCGCGAGCTGGTGTACAACCTCGAGCTGCGCTTGGGAGACCTGACGCGCTTGAACGGGGCGAAGCTCTTCATGCCCCGCTCGTGGCCGAGGGGCGTCGAGGCAAGAGACGCAGAGTGCAAGGAGCACACCTGCACGGCCTCGTCCATCTGTTTCAGGCCAAGAACGGGGACACGATCTTGCCTGGTGAGCAAGAAATAGATCCCCACTGACCTGCGTGTATGCATTGCCGTTTCCGTGGTTGCATTATTCCCATGTTGTGCGCTTGACTTTCTACCCTGGTTGTGCTCAACCCGTTTCACAGGTGTCCAGAAGCGTGCGGCACGAGCGGAGCTGCGCACGTTCCTGCCGGTGCTCTCCACTGCCCCCAAGGAAGAGCAGCCCTTTCACGCAGGTTTGAAGCCCATCTTGCAGACCAACGACTGGCAGACCAGCTACCCCAACTTAGTCCGTCTGTGGGCTGCGGTCGCTGTTCTGCCTCTCAGCACAGTCGAGTGCGAGCGCGGGTTTTCCCGCCAGAATGTGATCAAGTCGTGGCGCTGGACGAGTCTCTGCAACGCCAAGCTGGGAGATTTGCTGGCAATGAGTCTGCTCGACTACGACATGGAGTGGGATAAGGTGCTGGACATCTGGCGGAGCACCAGGAAAAGGCGCCCCAGCAAGCGCAAGGAGCAAGCTGCGCCAGAGAAGGAGCGGGCCAAGGCCAAGTTTGTTAAGGGGAGTGGCCGCCGGGTGGTTGAGGAGGAGGACCTAGACGAGGGCATGTGTGGTTCTGCAGGCGATGGCAGTGAGAGTGATGACAATGCCAGTAGCAGTGGTGATGATGCGAGCGTTTCTTCTGATGAAGACATGACATGAGCTAGTTTGTTAGTGGTAGATTCAGCCAGCATGCGGTATTGGTGCTGCTGTTTGTCACAATGGTAACTTTGGACGCATCCATGCACTGTTGCATCAGCTCTGCTTTTTTGGTTTTTTTACACTGCAGGTTCAGTTTAGGAAAAAAAATTACACTGACAGTATCAGTATAAAGAAAACCACCAACGCTGATTTGGACACCTGGTTGGCAGGGGCACGCTGATCCATCAGCATACCCTCAAACCAATCTGAGGGCCTGATGAATACACTCATGCGGTACATTGTGATGACATGTTTGGGTCGGGACTAGGAAATCCGGTCAGTTCATGTATGAGAAAACAATATAGATGAAGCCAGGGAGACGAAAAAAAGGAAAGAGCCCCCATAAAGGACACTCGTGAGGATACGATGGTGGCGAATGATTTGCTGTTGGTGACGGAGGTGCAGATGATGGGAGGAGAGAGGATGGGAGGAGAGAGGATGCGAGGGAAAAGGGAGAACCAGGCGGAGGAAGTCTGAGAGAATGGCCTCTCCATCAAGGAAGAAAATCTGAACGGGAACAGGAAGGAGGGGAGAGGGGAAGAGAGGGGAGGGTAGAAATGAAGAAATAGATGCAGTAGATTGAGTCAGGGAGACGAGAAGAAGGAAAGAGCCTCTGTAAAGTACACTAGTGAGGGCGAATAATTTGTTGTTGGTGCCTGAGGTGTGGATGTGAGGCGAGAGGAGGGAAATGGGAGAAGCAGGTGGAGGAGGTTTGAAAGAAATTGAGGAGGAAATTCAAGCGGTAACAGGTTGGGGAAGGGGTGTGGGCAGATGACGAAATAGATGAATGGGATGGGAGGAAGAGGCTATGGGCGTGTTGGTTGAGAAAGAAAACTTTATAGTGAGGACGGAATGGAGACAAGGAGATACAACAGTCAACAGTGGCATTGGAGGTGATTCCTTGTAGCGACATCACCTCCAATAGAACAGTAAAGGAAATGAAAAGTTGAGGTGAGAAAAGGAAATGGAACAGTAGAGAATGAGGGAACGCAGCCACCTAAGCGCAACATCCTTTGATTTTTGCAAAAGCAACGATACTGCTACAATTTTCGGTCTGAATTGATCATAAGTAACTTATAATACTCACCGGAGCAGCGTTGATGAGGGCGAGAGCATTGGACACGTGGAAGACAAAGAGAGCGACATGTGTCACCACCACAGGGCCCCACAATGGCGCTGAAATCTGAACCATCGATGGTGGCGATGCTGGTAACAGAAATGAACGGTTAAGATGCCTCTCTTCTCCTTCCTCGCTCTCCAGCTGATCCTGCTCTCTCTGCTGTTGCTGCAGCAGTTGCTGCTGTTGCTCCTCTCCCTGCTGAAGCACCTGCTGCCAGTGCTGCTGCTGCTCCTTTCCCTGCTCCGGCTGCGGTTTCCTTAGTTGCCATCGCTGCTGCTGCTGCTCTTCTCTCTGCAGCATGCTAGCAGCAGCAGGCTGGCTTGGTGCATGCAACAATTTTCGGTGTTCCAGTGCAAGGTTAGGCAGTGTGAGAGGGAGAGTGAGTGTGCGAGGATGCCACGGGGAAAGAGAGAGGCCCTGTGCAAAGGACTCAATGGTTCCCACAAACACTAGAGAGGAGGGAGTGGAGGAAGTGGAGGAGGAAGGAGAGGAACTGGAAAAGGAGGAAGAGGTCGAGGAGGAGGAGGGTGAGTAGGGGGAGGGCTGAAACTGCACTAGGAGCAGCAGATGGTGATGAGGAAGGACTGGGGCCATGCAGACGGATCCCTGGCCGTGAGGGAAGGACAAAACAAGGAGAAAGAGAAGAAAGATTTCTGAAACCGTACTAGGAGCAGCAGATGGTGATGGAAAAGTGCAGGGGCCATGCATGCAGGTGGAAACCTGGCCATGGGCAAAGGGTGAAGGGAAGGGAGGATGATGGGATGATGTCGAGAGGAAAGAGATTTGAAGCCGCACAAAGAGCAACAAAGGAGCAGAAGATGGTTTTGGCATGACATACGGGCCAGAATAGAAAGGAAAAGAAAAGAAAAGAAAAGAAAAGAACAGAAAAGAAAAGAGAAGAGAAGAAAAGAAAATCAAACCACTCAAACACAACAGATAGCATATTTTCTCCCCCCTTGTCACGCTGCTCCCTAAATGCATGTCCTCTAGTGCTTGTTCTGAGGAGAGCATATTCTCCCCCCCCTTTCCCCCCGAAATAACGAGCTTGCTCTTAGGAGCACGTCCTTCAGAGGCACTGAGAGACGCGCATTTAGGGAGCAGGCAGAGAATATCTCTCAGTGCTTTTTCTGAGGGTATCTATCTCAATGATCTCTCACACTCACCTTATCGCATTGACGCTGCTGCTTCCCCTCTTGCTTTCCCTCTTGCTTCCCCTCTTGCTTCCCTTCTTCCTTCCCCTCGTCCTTCCCTTCCTCCTCCCCATCATCACCCATCCACCCCCATCCGCATCTCCTCCCTCCCTCCACCACTTCTCTCGGACGCAAACATGCCGCAGTAGGAACCATCTGAGAAGCTTCTTCTTGGTTCTGCGATTCATCACCAGGAAACTGAACGGAAGCTTCCTCTTGGTGCGGTTCACTGCCAGGAATCGGCAAGGAAGGTTCCGCATCGCCAGCTGGAGCTTGCCGGAAAAGGATGGTTCCAGGAAACGAGGCATCACAGGAGATTGGCCGAGGTGGTGGGAATGGCTCCATGTTGGAATGATGAGGATGCTGGTGGGAAGGTTCTAGGAAAGAGCTGGGGATTGGTCCAGATGAAGCTATTGGTGGGATGCTACCATTGGCTGGAAAGGCTGGAGGAGTCAGGAATCCAGGTGGCAGCTTGTGATTGGCCGAGAGGGAAATGCAATACCCACGGAAAGGAGGTGAGGGAGGGATCGAAGAAGGCAGAGGGTAGGAGAGGTGGGAGACGTGGGAGAGATGGGAGAGGAGGTGAGTGTAGTCGGCAGGAGAGGAAAGCGGAGTGTGGTCAAGTACTAGTAAGGAGTCTCCTGGGCGAATGTGACTGAAGAGAGGGGAGAGCGGATGCACGGATGTAACCTGGGGGTGGGGTGGGAAGAAACCACACACGGATGTCATATGTGACTATAACGGGGGAAAGGCATGGTGGAGTTACACGGCTTGAGGCACACGGCTTGAAGCAAACGCAGAGTCGTTCTTTACTGGGAAATGGGACATACGGGGAGGGACGTACCTTGAGGCCTGGGGGGGGACTGGGAGTAGAGCGGAAGAAGAGCAGTGCTTGGATGTGCCATATGCCAGCACTCACCACCATGTTGTGCCATATGCCAGCACTCACCACCATGTTGTGCCATATGCCAGCACTCACCACCATGTTGTGCCATATGCCGGCAGAGAGGATTCGCAGCAGGCGAAAGGGGGCAGGGCGTGGTAGTCCGCGGGATGGAAGGCCACGTGTGCTCCGGGGAGCAGCAGAGCGAGGAGGAAGCATGCCACGTGCTGCACTCGCACTCCCTCTCTGGATGCGGGAGCGGGGCAAGGGGGGAGGAGAGAATGGGAAAGCTAGCCAGACGTTGAACTGCAAGAGGGGTGGAACGCGACGTGTGCTCCGGGGAGCAGCAGAGCGAGGAGGAAGCATGCCACGTGCTGCACTCGCACTCCCTCTCTGGATGCGGGAGCGGGGCAAGGGGGGAGGAGAGAATGGGAAAGCTAGCCAGACGTTGAACTGCAAGAGGGGTGGAACGCGACGTGTGCTCCGGGGAGCAGCAGAGCGAGGAGGAAGCATGCCACGTGCTGCACTCGCACCCCCTCCCTGTGGTTAAGGAGGGTATGGGGAAGGGACAAAAGAGGGGAAGGTAAGTACAAGATTGGACGGGATGAGGGAGCAGCAGGACGAGGAGGAAGCATGCCACGTGCTGCACTCGCACCCCTTCTCTGTGGATGGGAGGAGGGGAGGGGGCAGAGGGGAGAGAAAGAACAGGTAAGCAAGCTACATGTTGAAATGCAAGCGGGACGGAACTCACACGGCAGCAGCTACGGCGTGCCCAGCCTCATGCCACACCAGGCTGATAAGGAGGCCTCTACCCTAAACCTTATACCAACGTTTTCCCTCTCCGACTTACACTCACACGGCAGCAGCTACGGCGTGCCCAGCCTCATGCCACGCCAGGCTGATAAGCGTGGCTATAAAGAGGTAGCTGAGATCGGCCAATGGCATGTTGACACCTGGCAGCTGTTACTCCACGTGAGGAGCAGATATGGAATGGGTCGGGGGAGGAAAAGAGCAGGGAGGGAAGAGGGGAGCAGAGGGGGGCGGGAAACAATAATGAGATGAGAAGAAGAGATGGGGAGGTGGAGTGAAGGAAGATTGAAGGAGGAAGAGAGGGATGGAAGCAAGGAAAGGTAAACATGCTCACAAGGAAAGGTATTCAGCTCTCACCCACTCACCCACTCGCTAACTCACTCAACCACTCACTTCACTCACTCGCCCACCCACTCACTCACTCACCCACTCACTCACTCTCACTCACTCACTCACTCACCACAGGCTGTAGCACGTGCAGAGAAGAAGGCGTTGCAGCAGGGGCAGTGGTGGTTGCTTGCTTTGCAGTTGCATGGGAAGCTGTCTCCGCTACTTGGGAAGCTTGCATCTCTGCATGGTTTACCAAAGCACTAGCCGTTCCAGAGAGGTCGACGGCAGCAGAGGAGTGTCCGAAAGAGGAGTTTACAGAAAAAGGGTTATGACTGTAGTGAGCGTGACTGTAATGAGAGTGGTTGTGAGTGAGATCCACAGTGTGAATGCCTTGATTTTCCTGCAGGTGCTGAGATGAGGTGGAGAGGTATCGGAGAAGGGGGAAAAGGAGGGAAGCAACGAGGCCATCCCATAGTAGAACCTGATGCGCGGGGAGGGAGGGAGGGAGGGAGGGAGGGAGGGAGGGAGGGAGGGAGGGAGAGAGGGAGAGAGAGAGGGAGGAACTGGATCAGTTCTCAACCTGAAAGTGACTATGGAAAGTGGATTGTGTCGCGTCGTGATCAATGGGAGGCAACACATAGACATGGCGTAAGATGAGCCGCAAAAATAGAAGTAGTTGTGTTGGATCGGGATTGATGAGGGGCTTTCATGATGAAAGACGAGCAGCGAGACATAAGAAGTTGAATTGCACGCACCAGGGAGGCCAATAGGAAGGCGATGCAGGCTGCAATGACCCCCCATGTGAACCACACACGGAGCAACCTAGAATGAAGGGATAAGGAATGAGTTCCATATCCTTTGATTCAGATGTTCTGTTGGAGCGCGGAGGATTTGGTGTGATTCTGGTTGGCAGGCGCTCTGGCAACAAAACGAGCACAAAACAGCCAACCAACCAACCAACCAACCAACCAAGGATAAAGAAAACATGCAAAAGTTTGGCAGCAGCTCAGCCCAGCATGTGCCCACCCCACCCTTGGCATGGCAGGTGATCTGGCAGGCTGGCAGCCATCAAACGAAGGCGCTCGCTCAGGCAACAAGGGAGCAACAAAACAAAACGAGCAACGAATCGACCAACCGCGCTCGAGAACATGAGCAAGGGCAGCAGCAACCCAGCATGTGCCCCCACTAACCTCTTGGCAGGTGACTTGGCAGGCAGCATGCGAAGGCGTTCCAGCCAGGGGTTGAAGCACGTGGTGTGGATCTGAATGTACCTGGTGGTGGGAGGGATGGAGGGAGGGAAAAGGGAGTGAGGGATGGAGAAAGAGGGGTTGAACCTCTGCGGTGCCTTCTAGCATGACAAGGCGTTACATTCAATGGTTGAAAAGGCGTTAAATTCAATGGTTGACGCGTGTGTGGACCTGAATGTACCTGGTGGGAGGGGGGAAGGAGGGAGGGAGGGAGGGGGGATAATATATGTATGTGTTATATATACATATATATTTATAATATATATATACTCAGCAAGGAAGGTGTACAACTTACCCCATACTGGATGTAACACCACTTGTGAGGGTAACCTCTTCTTGCTCCCTTTCGCCCTGTGCTCTCCCATCGTTTCCCCCTGCCTCTCCCTTACTCCCCCTCATCTCCTCTCCATCCGCCCCTCCCCTTCTCCCCCCACTTTCCCCCCCATCCTCCTCTACGTTGCTATCCAAGCCCACGCCAACCCCTTTATTAGCACATTCGCTTCGGGTATTTTCTCCCCCCTTACTATCACATTCGCCTCCCCTTGCCCGGCGCTTCCGCTTGAGGCTCCCCCTCCTCCCGCCCCCCCGAAGCCAGCGCCAGTGCAGGGGGGATGAGCGGAGAGAGAGTTCCGCGCACTGGGGGGGGATGGAAAGGGGGCAGGGGGAGGGGGAGGAGGGGGAGGAGGGGGAGGAGGGGGAGGAGGGGGAGGAGGGGGAGGAGGAATGGAAGAAGGGTTGGGGAAATTCGTGCATTGGTGCAACTGAGATCCCCCCCCCTCCTGCCTATGCTCGGCCAGCGCCAGTGCAGGGGGGATGGGCCGAGACAGAATTCCGCGCACTGGGGGGATGGACGGAGGGCAGGGGGGAGCGGGCGGAGGGTAGGTGGGGGGGAAAAGGTTGACTGGGATGTCCGGACGGCGGCTTACCAGACGTCGGCTGAGACGGCACTAGAGAGAAATCAAATGAGGAGTCGCGTAAGTACCTTAAAGATAGAAGGAACGAGGAAATTGAGGATTCGTAAGTCAAACAGCTTTACCAGACGTCAATTGAGGAGGCTACACTTGTTATCTGATATTCATTAGACCTCAGGTACTAAGTAACTTGACGAGCAGGGGAACGAGGAGATTGAGCAGCAGCCGAGGGAAAACAGCTCTACCAGTCGTCAACTGAGACGACATTTGTCATCTGAGACAAAACTTTAAGAGATATATCTGAGACGTCAGGTACTAAGTAAGTACCTTGACGAGCAGGGGAACGAGGAGATTGAGCAGCAGCCAAAGGGCGACGCCGGTAACCAGCTCTGCAGAGACCGCCATTTCGCATTCGCGAAGAATGAACGGCGTGAAAGACTCTCCGCAAATGTCGCTGACATTACTGGCGGCAAAACGGCACGTTAGTCGCGTCTGATTCACATTCCAGTGATCGTTGATTGGTGATGGTGGAATGACCTTGAAAGACCCGTGAACTTCGCTCACATAGTAGCGTGCACCACGGTTAAGTTTGGTGCGTTGTGTTCCAAAGCGGTGAAAATGCTTATTGCTGTTTAGAGATTCGGTGAGTCGAGAGAACCCCGTCTTCGCTGGGCTATTCGCCAGAGTTTGGAATCAGCGCTGCTGGGCTGAGCGGTTGACAAGGCATTAAAACCTGGTAACCAGTTGCGAGGATGAAGGTGGGGGGGAGTGGTAATTGGGGCACCAGCTGGCCCACATTCTTCAGTTGATGGTCTGAATGTCATGGATGGAACTTTGCACACTTTTGGACTACAGTACCATTGAAAACGGCCAATTTTATTACCATGCCATTGCAGAACACGCCCCAAACCGTCAGCACACCCACCCCTACCAAGCCAGCTTCACCCATCTCACAGACCTCCACACTTCCGTACAACAAAGCTCGTTTTCTCAAACCCCTCCTCACCGTTCTGGATCGTCAATACACCGCTCTTCAACAAAATCTTTCATAAGCTCTTCAAACATAGAGATTATGAAAGATTTTGTTTCAAACCAGGGTCTCACGTAGATCAATTGTTTTGCAGTTGATGACTTGACCTTGGTTAGGATTGGATGGCGAGGTGTAAAGAATGACGAGGGGTGTGGCGAGGGGTGCGAAGGAAACACAAATCGCAGTTTGTGTCCGAACCAACCAGGCACGGAAATTGGCTCGGTGCCAAAACTAGAACACCAGCAATTTGTGCGAGCATTCGGAAAGTCTCATGTACCAGGGAAATGTTTTGCAATTGCTTCAGAGGCAAAAACGTCAGGTGTCGCACAGTCAATTGCCAGACCAATCCCTAGACTTCGCCACCTCAAACAGGGTGACTCAGCGTCAATTGTTTTGCAGTTGATGACAGTTTTCCTTACGTGAGACCCTGGTTTTTAGGACGTCCTCTCACCTGACCAAGTCCAGTATACGAGCCACTCTCAACGGATGGAAACTGCTTTCCATGATTCAACAGACTCTCTTATCTGTCAGCCATTGATTTTCCCAAGCCTTGAGGGCTGCGAATCCGTACGTTCAGTGTCCGCGTATATTCCTTCGCCAACCGGCCGTCGCGTGTAGGTCGCTTGGTTACCGATCTCAGTAGACAAAAAGCCCAATTTCCTGATTGCTCCGTTTCATGTATCTCCTAGATTCTGTACTGATTGATTCATTACTTCCGCGTTGACCTTGAGCAACCGGGATCATGCTCTAAGACGCCTGTCACTACGGCTATGTCTCCTAGTGAGCCACTGATTAGTCTGGTTTCGGATCGCGTGGATTCTTCGCGGTGCGATTCGGCTTGAAATTGTTTTTGCGAACGATCTTCGCTACTGTCGCACTCGTTAAAAGCACAGCAACGATGTCTCGCTTCGCCATTCCGTTCCTCGCTATAATCTCGATCTCTGCCTTCGTCGCCTCCTACAATGTCGTCGGCATGATCCTCAGCACCACGCGTCAACGCATCTCTATCCGCTCTAAAATCTCCCTCGGTAAAGCCACCTTCAGTAGTAGTCGCCTTCAAAAAGGTGGTCGACCGCTTCTCGGAAAACCACTTCCCCAAACCAGCGGCTCTGGTTCGGATTCCGTAGGCTCGGATGGAGGCTCGGCAGTGGTGAAACGGCCGGAAGGTCCGAGCTCCGGTGTGAAAAAGAAGCGGTATTTCCACACGGCGATGACGTGTAACGACTCGCCGTACACCAAGTGGCAGTCTCGGATCATGTACTTCTACTATAACAAGTACCGGAACGATCCTGAATCGGAGATGGGGGGATTCACCCGCGTGCTGCACTCGGGGAAGCCGGACAACCTGATGGACGAGATTCCAACGGTCGTCGTCGATCCGCTGCCTCCGGGCATGGATAAGGTCAGCTGAAGTTTGAAGTTTAGTTTGCCTTTTGAGGCGCGCCCAAAAGTCGTCGTCGATCTCCTGCCTCGGAGCATGGATAAGATCAGCAAAAGGCATTGAAACGTGTCACATTGTTAGAAGCCGGACAACCTGATGGACGAGATTCCCACCGTCGTCGTCGATCCGCTGCCTCCGGGCATGGATAAGGTCAGCAAAAGGCTTTGAGACGTCTCAAGATTAGAGTCGTCTAAAGCATTCAATAATCTCAAAAGCTGGACAACACGATGGATGAGCATCCGACGGTTGTCATTGATCCGCTGCCTCTAGAAGTTTAAGCCCAGCCAGCTGAACCCGCTGACTGTTTGTCTGGTTTATTATCCTTCTTATCCTCCTCCATTGCCAGTTTGAGTCGTCGTGATGCAACGCCTTCCTTGGTAAAAGAGATGTTTTGAGACGTCTCAAAACATCTCTTTTATCACGTTGAATCCCCCCCTCTTCCGTTCTCCCAACCCAAGGCCCCCTTCCGTCCCCCCCCCCCCCTCTTTCGCCCCCCGCGTTCTCCCCCTCCCTCCCCTCCCCTCCATCCATTACTCTTCCCGTCTTATCTTGTGCCAAGTCGGCCTTGGGCGTTCGTGCAGTGACTTTTGATTCAACTCATCTCATCCTCCCTTCCCTCGTCCCGTTCCCCCTCTCCCCCCGCACCCCAATCCCCTCCCCTCCTCCTGCTCCCCCTTCCGCCTTCCTTCTCGCAGGGCTACGTGGTGCTGAATCGACCGTGGGCGTTTGTGCAGTGGATACAGAAGGCTCAGATCGAGGAAGAGTGAGTGCGAGCATGCATGCATGTGGTGGTTGCAAGAAGTGAGTGCATGCCTGCAGGGTCTGTGGTGATGGTTGCAAGAAGTGAGTGCATGCCTGCAGAATCTGTGGTGATGGTTGCAAAAAGTGAGTGCAGTGGATACGGATGGCTCGGATCGAGGAAGAGTGAGTGCCCACAAATACACAGACACACGCATGCCTGTGCTGGTTCGTTGGTTAGTCAGTCCTGAGTCAACTCAGCAGTCACCATGTGTGGGCGTTCGTGCAATGGATACAGAAGGCTCAGATTGAGGAAGAGCGAGTGCAAGCATGCATGCTTCTGTGTGTGTTTGGATGGTTAGTTGCCTTTGAGTCGACTAAAACGAAAGTCATTGTGGGCGTTCGTGCAGTGGATACAGGAGGCACAGATCGAGGAAGAGTGAGTGCAAGCATGCAGGCGTCTGTGTGTGTTGGATGGTGTGGATGGCCGAACCGGATCACATCATTCTGAAGCCCATTCCCAACCTCGTATCTGACATGCTGCCTGCTGCCTTCCCCTTCATCTATCCACGCAGCTAACCCCTCTCTCACGGTGTGATGATTCACACTGCTATGATCTATCTATCCCCTCCCGTACCCCTGTGTCTGTGCAGGTACGTGTGGATGGCCGAGCCAGATCACATCATTCTGAAGCCCATTCCCAACCTCGTGTCTGACATGCTGCCTGCTGCTTTGGCCATGCTGCTATCCATTCTTTGACCGTGTGCCTATCCCATCCATACTGCTCTCCCTTCCCACCATGTGTCTGTGGCTCTGTGCAGGTACGTGTGGATGGCCGAACCGGATCACATCATTCTGAAGCCCATTCCCAACCTTGCAACACCTGTGCGGCTATGCGCGTTCCCATGTGCCTATCCCCTCCCTTACCCCCATGCTTTCGCAGGAACGTGTGGATGGCCGAGCTGGATCACATCATTCTGAAGCCCATTCCCAACCTCGCATGCTGTCTGCTGCCTTCCCCTTCGTCTATACATCCATGCTGCCATCCTCTCTATTACCCCCATGCTTTCGCAGGAACGTGTGGATGGCCGAGCCGGATCACATCATTCTGAAGCCCATTCCCAACCTCGCATGCTGTCTGCTGCCTTCCCCTTCGTCTATACATCCATGCTGCCATCCCCTCTATTACCCCCATGCTTTCGCAGGTACGTGTGGATGGCTGAGCCAGATCACATCATTCTGAAGCCCATTCCCAACCTGGCGTCCGACATGCTGCCTGCTGCCTTCCCCTTCTTCTACATTGTGCCCAAAGACCAAGAGCGTGAGTTGAGAGAGAGGAAGTGTGTGAAGGGAGTGAGTGAAGAACCAATGTTCAATGTTTGAGTCTCTCGGACCCGCCTTCCCCTTGTTGTACATCGTGCCCAAGGACCAAGCGCGTGAGTAAAAAGTGAGGGGGAGATTGACGAGAGAGTGAGTGAGTGAAGAAAAAACCCTCTCTACACGTGGCCATCCCCCTACCCTGAACCCTGCCACTCTCTCCAATCCCAACCCTCTCTGCCCTTAAGCCAGGTTGCGTAACGACCAATCTCCACCACCTCGTCCCGCCTCTCCACCGTGCTTCACCGCGTTCAACCCCCTTCCAAGTTCCACCCGTTTTGTTCTCCAAGGGTTCTCGAGGCAGTTGTAACATGCTGAGGAAGGACCATTCTCCACCACCTCATCCCCTAGTAGCATCGCTCTTCACCGCATGCTAACCCCTTTCCACCCCTCTCACTCTCCAGGGTTCCTGAGACGCTGGTACCCTGCGGAGAAAGGACCAATCACAAACATCGATCCGATTGGCAACTCTCCCGTGATTATAAAGAAGGTGAGCTTACCTGGACTATTCAGAAGCGTGAGTCTACCTGCAATCGCATAATTCTGACTTCCTCCTATTTTTGCTCAAGATTGCTCGCCTGTGGCACAAGGTGCTGCTGCCTCATTGTGTTTTCTCAGCTGCAACCCTTCCTTTCCGCTTTCTGCACTCCCCTCCCACTCCCACACCACCCATCCCATCACCCACCAGAAAGACCTGCTGAAAATCTCCCGCCTGTGGCACAACGTGTCTCTGCAGTTCAAGAGCGACCCGGAGATACTCCCTCCCTCGGATACCACTGTTTTTTCCATCTTCCTAATGTTGCCCCACTTTCCGTTTCCCTTTGCCCTTCCTCTCCTTGCCCTTCCTCTCTTTGTCCTTCCTCTCCTTGCCCCACACCATCTCTCAGAAGCGACCTGAGGTTCTCCCCCCTCCAAATACCACCGTCTCTTTGCATTCTCCTCGGCCTCCCTCACCTTCTCTTCTCCTCACGTCTCTTTGCGCTCTCCCGTTTTCCCACCACCCACCACCACCACCCCCCACCAGAAAGACCTGCTCAAAATTGCTCCCCTGTGGCACAACGTGTCGCTCCAGTTCAAGAGCGACCCTGAGATTGACAAGGAGTTCGGATGGGTGCTGGAGATGTAAGTATGGGTGGTGTGGGCTGGGGTGGGGTGGGTTGGGGTAGATGTATTAGCATGAGGCAGCATGTGCAGCATGGTTAGCAAGAACGACCCGGCTACTGATGAGGAGTTTGGATGGGTGCTGGAGATGTAAGGCTGGGTGGTGTGGTGCGGGATCGGGTGGGGTGGGTTTGGGTGGGGTGGGGGGACATGAGGTAGGTGCATTAGGGCAGCCAGAATGACCGGGCTGTAACAGGGTGTTTTTGAGAATTCTCAAAAACACCCTGCAGCATCTGTAACACATGGTATGGTGCATGCACCCATGCTTATGGTTGGTCCCCCCTGCCACCCATCCCCACAGGGTATGGGTATGCCATGGCATCAGCAAGGCTGCGTTACACACTCCGATGCATGCATGCACGCGTTCATTCATCCATGCTTATGGTTGTTCCCCCCTGCCTCCTGCAATGGGTGATGTTCGCCCCCTGCCCCCCATCCCACAGGTTCGGCTATACCACAGCATCAGCCATGCTGGGGCCCACGCACCCATGCACCCATGCATTCACCAGTCACCCATGCTTCTATTGTTTCCCCCTCCTCCCCCCCCCCCCCCCACCCCCCCCTTGCCCCCCATCCCTCAAGTTCGGCTATGCGACAGCATTGGCCATGCTGGGGTACACGCAGCATGGCCACATGTATTCCTATCCTCCTCTCTCTCTGTTATCCCCTGCCGCCTCACCCCCCCACACAGGTACGGCTATGCCACAGCATCGGCCATGCTGGGGTACACGCACATCCTCCGAAAAGACTGGATGATCCAGGTGAGCGGGTGAGCTGGTGAGCGGGTGAGCTGGTGAGCTGGTGAGCGGGTGAGCTGGTGAGCTGGTGAGCTGGTGAGCGGGTGAGCTGGTGAGCTGGTGAGCTGGTGAGCGGGTGAGCTGGTGAGCTGGTGAGCGGGTGAGCTGGTGAGCGGGTGAGCTGGTGAGCGGGTGAGCTGGTGAGCAGGTGAGCGGGTGAGCTGGTGAGCTGGTGAGCTGGTGTGCGGGTGAGCTGGTGAGCGGGTGAGCTGGTGAGCGGGTGAGCTGGTTGTTAGAATTGAACCAGTCACTTGATTAGGAATCATGAGGGTTTACATAGTGGAAGCTAGGGGAGGGGGGGTTGGTTGGTTACCTAGCCAACATTATTGGCCCCCCACCAATAAGTTGGGTTGGAGAAGTATTGGGGGGTCCCAATAATGTTGGCCAAAGGTGGACCAACATTATTGGGGGGGCCAATAATCTCCCAACCCAACCTTGGAGGCCAATAATTGGACCAAGGTTGGGTTCCAACCCCCAACTAGGGTTAACCCTAGTTGTGCACCCAAACATAGTTTGGGTGCCTATCTCTATCCTAGGGTTTATAGGATCAATGCAGGATACAAAAGAGTAGTATAATCTAATACAACCCCTTAACCTGCATAGATCCATAAACCTGGATGAGATAAGACAGCAACCCCTGAATCAGTCACCATGGGGAGCAAGGCCTAGGAGGGGCAAGAGTGCCGAGTGAGTAGCGCGGTCGAGGGCTTTAGTGAATATGTCCGCGGGGTTGGAGGACTATTCTATTTTGCGCACGGTAATGTGACCATCCTGGACAAGATCGCGGACGAAGTAGTGTCGGAGCTCGATATGCTTGGAGCGACCATGGAACACAGCTTCTTTGGTGAGGTGGATGGTGCTGGCGTTGTCACACCAGAGAGTGGGACAGGGCTGTGGTGAGCCAAGGTCTGTGAGGAGATAGCCGAGCCAGCGTGCTTCCTGTGCTGCCATCGTGACCGCGTAAAGTTCAGCCTCGCAGGAGGAGAGGGCGATGGAGGAGGAGCGGGTGGAGCCCCAGCTAATGCGGCTGCTCCAAAGGGTGAAGCCATATCCTTGTGAGCTGCGACGGTCAGGCTGTGAGTCCGCCCAGGACGAGTCGCTGAAGCCAGTGAGAACCGGCGGGTCTGCTCCACCAAGGGTGAGGGTGTAATCCTTTGTGTGCTGAAGGTAGCGTAGGACACGCCGGGCCGCCGTCATGTGTTCCTCTGTGTGCCTGCCAACACCAACGAATCGCGCCAGAACACTGATTGGGTAGGCAAGGTCGGGGCCGGTTCAGACCATGGCGTACATCAGGGCCCCGACAAGCTCTGGATAGGGGTTTGAGGAGTCGGTGGGGGTGTTAGGGGGCGCGAGCTGGTGCCCAACTGCAAGCGCGGTGGCGATGGGCTTGGCTTTTGACATTCCAAACCTCTCAAGGACCTTCTCAATGTAGAAGGACTGAGAGAGGGAGATAGTCTTGGCCTTGAGGTCGTGGGTGATCTCCATGCCAAGGTAGTTGCGGACCTCCCCCAGGTCTTTGCAGGCGAGTCGACGCTGTAGTTCGTCCTTGACCTCCTGCTTCTCAGCATCTGTGTCGGCGGCTAGTAGCATGTCGTCGACGTAGACGAGGATGTAGAAAGGTGACGGAGCCGTCCGAAGGAAGAGGCTGGAGGCCGCTCAGGAGGGGCGAAAACCAAGCTCGCGAAGGGTGGAAGAGAGCTTGGCATGCCACTCTCGGGGTGCCTGCTTGAGGCCGTAGACGGGCCGCAGCAGCTTCCGAACGGTGGACGGGTCATGTGGAGCATGAAAGCCTTTAGGGCGTTCCATGAATATGAGTTCGTGTAGGTCGCCTTGGAGGAAGGCGGTAGTGACATCCATGGAGTGTAGCAGCATGCCGCGTCTGCCGACGAAGTCGAGGAACACCCGAACGACCGGTGGGGTAGTAGTGGGTGAGTATGTTTCAAAGAAGTCGAAGCCGTGCTTCTGCGTGAAGCCCTTCGCCACATAGCGAGCTTTGTAGACAGGGTCTTTGCCAGGGAGAAGCTTGACACGGAAGTGCCATTTGCCCTTGACGACATTGGTCTTGGCAGGGCGAGGGACGTCGATGAAGGAGCGGTTGAGGATGAAGGCGTCGCTTTCCTTAACCATGGCTTCAATCCAGAGCGGTGCGTCGAGGCAAGCAATTGCCTCCTCGTACGTGGTGGGTTCGAAGATGGTGGGGGTGCCCGAGAAGAGAAGAACTGGAGTGCCTGCCATGGTGCGGACGATGGGGGCGATGGAGGTTGCGAGGAGGTGGAGGAAGAGGAGTTCGTCGTGGGTGTCTTCATAGAGGAGAGGAGAGAGAGGAGGAGGAAGAGGGGGTGGTGAAGATGCAAGACAGCTGCGCTGAAGGTCGAGTCTGCGACATGGAAGTGCTGCTGCTCGGCTGCGCGGTGGTGTTGTCAAGAGCGTGAAGCGGTTGCGCAGTGGATCTGGAGTGAGGAGACTGAAGCGGGGGGGGAGGGAAGTACCGGTGAGGGCGAGAAGGGAGGGGGGGGAAGTCTGTGGGGAACCAAGGATGGGGTCCAGGGAGCGGGTGTGGGGATAGCGGGAAGGACAAGGGTAGGGGAGGGGCGTTGGGGAAGAGGGGGGGGAGGCGGAGGGGGGGGCGGATTAGAGGAGGGGAGGGGGGATGGAGGGGAAGGGGGCGGGGGAGGTGGAGGAGGGGGAGGAGGAGGGAGGTGAGTTGCAACGGAAGGTGAGGTAGTGGAGTGGGAGGGGGAGGGGGGGGGTGGGTTAAGGATGTCGCCGGAGGAGCTGGAGGAGAGTGGAGGGGGGAGGGGTGGAGGAGCGGGGGGAGGGGTCATGGCAGGGGACGGGAGGAGGGGCAGGGTGTCAGTCCAGAGAAGGGGCCGGGGAAATGGGGGAAGGGGGTTAGGGGCGGAGGGGGAGGTGTAGTACGTGGTGGCCTTGTCAAAGACCACGTCCCGACTACGGATGAGGCGGCCTGAGGGGGGGTGGAGGAAAAGGTAGTCAGGTGAGTTGGAGTTGTGTCCAAGGTAGACACAGGGGAGTGTGCGGGACGCAAGCTTTCCAGTGCGCGTGAGCGGTCGGCAGGGTGTATGAGGACATACGCCTTGCAACCCCAGACACGCAGAGGAGATATGTCAGGCTTGCTGGAGGTCCATAGTTCGGTGGGGGTGGAGGTGGGACGGGAAGGGTGGGGGTAGAGGTTAGTGAGGATGGCAGCGTGAAGGATGGCATAGCCCCAAAGAGAAGGTGGGCAGGAGGCGTGAACGAGGAGGCACCGAGCAGTTTTGGTGATCTCCCGAATGCGGCTCTCCGCCACACCATTCTGCTGAGGGGAGTGAGGGAGAGTGTAGGTGTGGAGGATGCCGTGAGAGGTGCAGTAGGAGGACAAGGTGCGGTTAAGGAACTCACCGCCTCCATTGGAATGGAAGCGGCGAACAGGGCGACCGAAGTGGTTGCGTGCTTGTTCAGCCCAGGCAGTGATTGCAGCCGGGGCCTCCGCCTTCGTACGAAGGAGGGTGACGGAGGAGTAACGACTGTGATCATCCACCAGGATGAGGAGATAGCGATGTCCTTGCCTGGTGGGGGAAGGGTTAGGGCCCCAAAGATCCACGTGGACGAGGTCAAGGGGTTGGAGGGAAAAAGAGGGGTTACTCGTGTGTGGTTGTTGCTTCAACTTGCTTTCAACACAAACTGAGCAAGGAGGGGAGGGGGAAGGAGGGAGGGGGGAAAGGGTAAGGGGGAGACCGTCAAGGAGTTTAGTGAGGATGGATCGGCGAAGGGTGGCAAAGTTGGGATGGCCTAGGCGATGGTGGAGGAGAATGGTGGGGTGTGTGAGATCACGACAGTGACAGGGGGAGGGTGAGTTAGATGGGGGGGGAGGGGAAGGGGCGGGGGGAGGGGGAGGGGGAGGGGAAGGGGCGAGGGGAGGGGGAGGGGGAGGGGGAGGGGGAGGGGGAGTGGGAGGGGGGGCGGGAGGTTCGAGAGGAGGGGAAGGGGCGAGGGGATGGGCTGTGGAGAGTTGGTGAAGGGTGGGACGGAGGATGCGGAAGGTGTAAATGTGGGTGGAGGGGCACCGATGGACACGGCAGAGGAAGCGACCGGAGGAGGTGTGAAATAAGTCACAATATGCTGCGTGACCAGGGAATAGGGCGGTGACACCTGCTGTTGAGAGGGCACCAAGGGATACCAGGTTGTTATGAAAGGAGAGGATATAGAGACCTGTGACGGAACGTGAGGGAAAGAGGGGACAGGGGAGTGTGGAGGTGTAACGGCTTTGTATGGCAAAGCTTGAGTCAACCCCATAGATTGTGGAGGGGGTGGAGAGAGGGAGGAGCGTGCCTGCATCACGAAGGACCGTGTGTGTGGCTCCGCTGTTAAGGATGAACTCAAGGGGCTGAGGGCTATGTTGCGCCTAACGCCCTGGAAGGGCAGCGTCCAGCGTCCGGACGTTGGACGTTCGGGGAAAAAATATTCGGGCAGCACGAAAACAAGTCTCCTGCACGAAATTGACTCGCGATTTCATTGCGACCAGAATTGATGATGAAATTGCCATCTGGGGGCCGCGTTTTTTACCTAAAAAACGCAACCCTCACTTATTCCCCCCCACACATTTGTACCCATCCACATGTACTTCTCCCAACCTAGTCGACCCCCAACTAAACTAGAGAACCAGATTTAGGTCGACATTACACAGATCTGTTACTCTCGACATTGTCAAGCATTCCTTACACTAGAATTCGCCAGTCACGCTACTAAGCCTTCCTAGCTAAAATTAGGTTAAGGCGATTAAGATATCATGTCAACTCCTAGTCCCGCCGGTCATTCTGTTAGTGCCTCCACGCCTTCTGGAGATTTTCAGGATTTTCTGGATATTATGGAGTATTTATAACTATAGGTGACAAATGTTAACTTCTTGCATTCTAACCCCTGCGTATCCTTACTAGGCAGGTTTTTTACCCCTGCCCGGAAAACAT